CAGCAAACATAATTTGGCCAGATTTCTGGTCTGTGGAGTCTCTCGAGGGCCCCTACCACTCCCAGCATCTGGTGGTCTGTTGAGAGGAGGTGTCATGAAGCTGTCATGACTACATGGAGACCCTCTAGTCAGTGGGCTTCTCAGTGCAACCTTCCCATGGCTGCAGAATGAAACCAAGTGAACACGGAAAAACTTCATAGACTGTATTTATTAATAATTTATGGCTTACCTATTGATAAGCCCTCTGTCTTGGGAAGGTTTAAAACAAAGCCCTGTACTCTAGCTTCTTATTACTTAAACAGTGCTATCTCCTACTGTGTGTGTTTCAACTCCATGTCTTGATAGCAAGTGGCAAACAGAAAAAAAAAAAAAGGAAAAGGGGAGAAGAAATAACTTCAGTTACTCCAAGTTTGATTAAAAATTTCTTTTCTATAAAGAAAGAATGATCATGTGCACTTAGAAAACCAGACTCAGAGGTGTAGATTGAACTCTGCCACTGCTTTCTTGTTCAACTTCAGACATATAACTTATAGTTACAACATCTGCATTTTCTAGGTGCAAAGTGCTGTAAGGGATTGAGGGGAAATTTCCAAGCCTTTGCTTGTCCTCTTGCACAGACTGGTTTTCCCACCAGCCCACACCACCTTGGGGTTGTGCCCATGAAAAGCCATGCAAGGGGAAATAGGTAATGAAGAAAGTGTATTGGTGACAGCATCTGCTGCTCCACTGAAGGGTGAGGACATGCATTTGGGTGTTCAGCTTCTCACTTTCACCCTTGCAAGTCATGAGTGACAATGTATCTCTCCATCAGCCACACTGAGTGGGTGTGAAGGGTTTGGACAACAGTCCCCATCATACAGCCACCACTTATTGGGTTAATGAGTCCGGGCAGGATTAAGACAACTGTCCTGGAGTGATGTGTCACTGGGATGAGGGTCTCTGCAGCTCACAACTGTGAGTTCCAAGATGCCCAAGCAGAATCCTGGTGTTGTAGGCAACTCCGTACCCCCAGCAAGTTGTCTGTGTATAGGCGAGAGAAGGACAGGAAGAGCTTTTGTGCAGTGAGGCAAAGAGCTGCAATTAAAACTGCAGATGGAGTAGTCTCTCCTGGAAGTTTTGGATGGTGACACTGTCAGATACTTTTAGGGGTGAGTAATGTGAGGCATGGTGTTTGAGGAAGTCCAGAAATGAGCATAGGTGATGAGCTCAGGTATCTAAAAATTTAGATGACCTATTCATTCCTGAACTATTTTAATATAGCCAGACTCTGGAAAGGAAGGTAAGGAAAGATTAATTAAACCACAGAATTTTGACTTAGAAGAAAATAATATGGTTCAAGCATGCTGTAGGCATGGATGCTTGACAATACTGAGGATGCCAGAGTAGTGTTAGTACAGCACAACACAACATGTTGGCATGTTGTAATTTTAAGAGCCAGAAGTATCTCCCCTTAAACAATCTGAAATGCAAATGTGAAGCCTGTTTTCCCTCCGTGCCCAGTGTTTTCCTGTCAGCCACTGCCAGGATCCAACCAGTAACTTGTCACCTCGAAAATACACTGATGCATTTGCAATGGCTGAGGTGCTAATCCTGACTGTAATGTGTATGGATGTGCCTTCCTTATGCAGTTTTCAGGACAAACTCTGGTTTCTTAGACTAAATCAGTCTATCAAGACTCAGGAGGATGGGAAGCCAAAGGCTTCCTAAGGACAAGATTCCTGGCATCATGCAGAAGAGTTCTTATAGAATGCAGCGTAATGGCAAAAAAACAACCTGGCTGGATTGACCAAAACCAAACACAACTGATTTAAAATAGAACTTTTCCTAATCCAGTCCAATTTCATGGCAAGGACAAGAACCTGATTTTCACCAAGCTGTCTTATTTAAAGTTCAGGCTACACATAGCTCAGAGTGCTCTCAGGATCTTCTCCAGCACTGAACAGGGTCTACAGATTGTTTCCTACACTCTTTTCCAAAGAAATAAAAATAAAAATCTGTTTTGCATGGAAATGGGATGCAATTCACACATTATTAGGATTTAGCAGCTCTTGCTTTTTTAAAAATTGCTGTGAAAAGAACAGCTTTTGAACGTATACGTTTGAAGAAATAAAAGGGATATTTTTTTATTTTTTTCTATTTTTAGCTACTGAAGAAAATATATTAAACCTGCTCTTACCTACTCCTCTAGAATCTCCTTGCTCCTCCCCACACACTCCATTCTCTCTTGTTTTACTAGTGTCTTCAAAATTTGGAAATAACACCCTGGTCTCCTGCCCTAAAAGTAAGCAAAAAACAAATTCTTTAGAATTTAACAAAATTTCTTAGTTTTTAAATTCAAGTCTCTGACCAACATAGCAAAACATTCTGGAAACAAAATCTTAACGAATAAAGATGAAAAATATGTTTAAAAAATGGTAAGATGCTTTGTTTTGTTTAATTTAAAATGCTTCCACTAACTAAATGTCTTATAGGGACTGTCCACTGCAAACTCCATCATGGTGTAGTGTCACCTCACAGAGGTCATTTCACCTGGGTGTGCTCTGTGAAATGCCTCGGTAAAGGATTTCAACCTCATTGCATCACAGGCTTCAAGCTATATGAGAGAAAGCTATATGTAGAGAAACGTAGAACTCACGTAGAGAAACTAGTGACTATTACTATTGCATGATTTCCAGCCTTTCCTCACTGCAAGTCAAGAGCAAGAAACTGCTCTGCTGCAGTTGCAGATGCAACCTCTATCATTCCTGTACAGTCACAAAGTGCCAAGAGAGCTGATCTATGTTTCCCTGGCAAACTAGGCTGGAGGGGTGCACAGCCCTGCAGCATGTTTCATTGGGACCAGGAATGCTGCAGAACTCACTAGGGACGTCCCCTGCTTATCTCCTGCTAGCAACAAGGCATTGCAGTTAAATTGGAGAGAGGATAAATGGGGAGGGGAGGGTGGGAAATACAGCATCGAGTTCTATACCATAACTGAGATACATGCATTTTAATATATGATTTTCTGGAATGCACTTAAATATATGCTTAAATGTCTTTCTGAGCGGATATCATACAGAAGGGAAGAGGGGATGGCCTGAAGTGATTGCTTATTGCACACAACTTTGGCAACATGTAATGTGACTACAGGTTGTGGCATGCACAGACTGCCCATTACAGCTCCGCCAAGCACTGGGGCATATCCCTTGTCTTTGCTGGATATAGCCTGTAGCAGAATTCTTCCCTTGGGCAAGGCTTTACAGCAAAACATGAGAAGGGTATAGAAGGGATTTAATTGCATAGCTGTCAAGCCTTAGTAGCAGTTGCCCATATATGCTCTCAGAGCACATGTGGGAGTGGAGATGTCTGGATCCTGTGTGATGGGATATTTCAAAACCAGCTGTAGTAATACAAGTATCAATGCATAGGCCTTTACATGGTAATGGAAAATAAAAAGGAGAGATTTTGAAGAATAACAAGAACAAGAGAAGGAGACCGAACAGGCTAGAGGTCAGCTGCAATTTAATAAACTCCTTAAAGCTGGAAGACTGAAAGAGTATCCCAGTTGTATCTCAATTGTTGCTGTTCCTTTAGCTGTGATCCCCACATAGCCCACTTACTCATACTGGCTCACCTGGGATACGCCAATTAAACTTTGCCTTTTGGCCACAGTGACTACTGGAATTGTATAATGTCCTGTGAGTTTTCAGATGACAAAGGACCCCTTTCACGGAGATAAAGCTAAGCGAGAAGTCACTTTGACATGCTGTCTTAAGACAAGGAGACTGTGCACCAGTAAGTAAAGTGGGACCAGGAGGTGAAAACACCTGACAAAGCAGCTGCCTTGAAAAACAGCCTGCAGCAAGTAGCATGTCATGGAACTGGAACTGGGATGGAGGTGGAGAATGTCTGATCAAGGAGACTGGGATATGGAAAACTAAAATGCCAGGCTAGATGGCCTTTGAAAGGGCAAGGCACATGGGAAACAGGGTGACTTTCAGATTGCTTTCCTTCAAGGTAACGGAATTTCCTTGTTTTAGCAGCAAGAGGTTATCACATCAAAATTATATGCTGAAAAATGCACTTCTGCAAGGCAGAAGCAAGAGACGTGCAGAAGTACATTTTGCAGTATATAATGCTCATGGCAGGACAGCCCATGATGTCATGGTCAGCCTCCACTCACGATGTGGTGTGGTGACTGTCCTGGCTCAGAGATACCCCTCCACTGGGGCAGCCCTGCGCTCACCCGTGCAGTCAGTGGCACCCCATGGGACAGGACTGGGGGGGCGGGAGGGAGGGGGGCTTCGTTGCTCTCTTTGAGAAAGGGAATCAGACAATCACAGAAGTAAAAATAAAAGCGTGAAGAGTTTGCATGCAAAACCAAAGCCAAGCTTGAAATCATGGGTACCCTTGTGGCATTGGCTCAGGCGTCCCCTCACTTCCTCACCTGCCTCCTTCTCCTGTATTTATAATACTGGATTCCTCAGTGAGACCGTTTGCACACACAGCTTTTACCGCTTTGAATGTCTGATGTCAATACATGCAACGTATGCAGGATGTGTGGATACCTTTCTTCTCCCTCCCCATCCAGATGCTCTTCCTCACTTCTGTCAAGAGCTGCCCTGCAGCAGCAGCCTTTTGCAGCGTGCCATGTTACCACCGCACTCACAAGCGCCGTTCCCCCCGAGTCCGCGCTCTCCCTCCTCCTGGCAGCCCTGTCGTTTCCCTTATCCAAACCTGCTTCAGCTGGAGCTGGAGCTGCAGCCGCCGCCTGCCTGTCTGCCGCAGCTCCCCTCCCTGCGCCATGTGCCACCGTCCTTCCCTGCGCGCTGTGCTGCTCGCTAAGGACATGCTGTGGCACAGCTGTCTGCCTCCTCTGCTGCAGTCAGGCAGGTTTGTATTACTGTGCACGCTGCTGATGCCGAGCTCCTGTCGTGACCCAGCACCCCATAGGAGGAGCAAATGAGCTGAGACGTCAACGCAAAAAATTATAGCCATGCGAGCTATCCCTCTGCTCAGCTGCTTGGAGAGTGCCTACATGGTTTGTGTGACAGCACCAGCACACAGAAGCAGCACTGAAATGCAGTTAGCAATACAGCTGGGAGACAGGCAGCCAGGCAGGCACTGGTCCAGTGACTAAAATGATCGTACCGTGAGCCAGTCTGCAGTGCCTCCAAAAGTGGCTGACTGCTACACTGGAGCTCGGCTCCCTTTGCAATTACTCCAGTTTCTCCCGGTGACTGCAGTGTGCGCTCCGTTTTGGTTTTGTTTGCCTTTTTGTTTCTCCCTCCCACCCACCGGTCTCCCTCTCTCTCCTCCCGTGTCCTTCTCTCCAGGATGGCGGAAGCAGAGTTGCACAAGGAAAGGCTCCAAGCCATAGCAGTAAGTCAGTTTCCTTTTACTTGCTCTTTTGTCCTTAGCCGTGGGTTGTTGGAGGGAAGGGGGGATTCCAGCACAGTGGCTGGGAAGCGCCCGCACAGACTGGATTGTGCAAAGTTGTGTGTGGAATTCCCTGTTTGGGAAATGAGCGGTTAAAGTCTGCTTTGCGGGATTTAGCGGAGAAAGAGGACTCTGAGGAAGAGCATTGAGCTGACACGTGCAGAAAGAAAAACATGAATGCACAGTGGCATGCTTAAAAGATTGATGATAGGGAAGAAAAGAAGGAATAAATGGAGAGGAGAGGAGATTGCAGGAGAAAACCGGTACTCTGCTGAATATACATTTTTTCACACTTGAAGGTTTTCCTTAGCTGATGAAGAAGGCAAGCAAAATGATCTGCTGCAGGATGGCTTTTAGTGCAGAAAATAATTGTGATAGTGCTAATTTTAAGACAATCGAATGCAGACTCTGCATTATCAAAATTGTGTAATTGTTTGATCTACTAGTTACACTGTCATCTCAGCTCCATAGCTGAGCACACGATTTCAGAAAAAATTTCCTGCTGAGCTGCATTACACCAGGGGTAAAATCCAGGCAGGATTGAGATCCATTTCAGTTATAACTTTTGTTTTTCTCATTTAGTAGAGTATTTGGATTGAGCCACAAGCTCATCTGGTGCAGACCTTGGAGGAATGTGGGTAGTGACACCTGGTGAGGAAGGGGCCTGGGTGTTTAAGATCCACCGTCATCCTGGCATGCAGAAACTGCCAGCTCATCTTCTAGCATGTCACAGGCACCGTGTCAAAAGGCCTGTGTTTCTGTGGGCACTGCCAGTCAGACAGCCCCATACAGCCTGCCCTTGTTCAAGTGACACCCAGCTCTTCTTCTTCCCCATGGCTGAGATGTTGATGCAGCTGTGCCAGTCCCAGACGGATGGCACGCTCCGTACCGGGAACCACACACCTGGAGGTCTGAAGGGAAACAGAAGATGGCAGAGCCCACATGGATTTAAGTTATCTTCCCCAGTTCCCCCAGTGATCAACAGATGCTACATTTTTCTGTAGCTGGCACAGGTTACAGATTTCTTTTGTAGTGTAACAGGAATGGCTGCTGCTGCTTCTGCTGCTGCTGCTATTGCTGCTATCATGGAAATATAAAATAACCAGATTTTAAAGAAATAGGTTAGGGATTTTTCTCTCTGAAATATTAACTTCAAAAGGGGAAATGGTATCATTTGATGTGGGAAGGGGAAAGCTATAACCATTTAATTTTCAGGCAGTGTAAAGTAGATGCGTATTTTTAAGCTGGTTCTCAGTTTTCTATCAACATAGGCATTGCCATATCTCAAGTAGAAACACCAGGAATGTTCCTCCAGAGGCAAACCTCACCACTGCTGGTGATTTGGGACTCTGTTATGGCAGAACTACTGCAGAGCTGCTCTGTGCTGTGCTGCAGTGCATAGCTCTGAAACACTTCTGTCTCCACATTAAAAAACAAAAAACAAAAAGGTTTAAATTATTGTTTCTTCTTTCAACTCCTGTATAACAGAACACCAGAAAACACTCATTTCCACATGATGTCCTGAAACCTCTGACCAAAGTAGATCAAGTGCTCTGGTTCTTAGTGCTCTGCATCTCACACCAATGAGGCCATTATGGATTTAATATTATCACCTGGTGTATGCAGATTTTATAGAGGGTTTATGCTGGCATAATAGAAGGGCTTGAGAGTCTGGGCCTTCACTTGCTATACATATTTCCTTTTTTGGTTTCTCTTTCTAGAAATTTATAAAGCATAGTAAGTAATGTATGCAGTTAATTAGATTGAAAGAATTTTCTTCAGCACAAAAAATAATCAGCCTTATTTTAAGTGTTAGTGTGGATCCATGAACAACTTGTTTGCTTAGCACTCTGCAGAGCAACAGGTCTTCCATACAGTCTTGTTCGTTGACTATTCTCCTATGCTTGGGCTGCTGTAAATGTTTGTCAGAATGCAGAGAAGTCATTTTGTAGCATAAGCTTTGCTCCATCAGAATGAGTGACATGCCACAAGTTAGGCATTTCCCTCCTGCCACTGATTGGCTAAAATAAGGTCAATTCTCAAATTCTGTATGGCGTTTCTCAGAAGAAGAAAGAAATGGCATTTCAGTTCAGCTTGGTGTTTTATCTGTTTGAACGCACTGCAGGATCTGTCTGAGATGAAAGAAGCTTACTCCAGCATTCTGCAATCACACTGGTTGAATGCTAGATTTACAGAAAGAAATCCACTCACCACTGGGTCCTCTACACACTGTTCTCCGTACATTTGCTATTATAATCATCATGGTAAATGAGTTTGCTGGGAAATTTGCAGAGTAAATTTTAAGTGTGCATCACTGAATACATAAAGAAGCAAATCCAAAAAGAGAAATATGAATTTTAACACCAGAAAGCTGACTGGTTTTGAAGAGTTTGAATTTATACTTTTTTACCTTGACTTATCATGGTTTTAATATATGCTTCTCTGGCACAGAGGCAAGTGTCATAGGAAGAGGAAAAGTGGGAGTCTACTGTTAGGACATTATTCTAAACCTCAGTGAACGTGAGTTAGCCACTTGTTTTGTCTGCAGCAAATACATAGGCTCTCTGTGCATTCACGTTCTATCTGTAAACTGTGAATAATAGACTCTGCCCTTGTCTTAGAGAGATGTTAGAGATGCATGCAAGATTGAGCTGTACTTGGATGCCATGGTTTACCAGGGCAAGAAATAGCTAAACATATCTCTAAAATAGAATTTGTGATTCTAAAACCAGAGAAGCTTCAAATGTGTATGTTTTAATGCCATTGAAATGCGTAAGCTGTGATTTCAGATCTTTCTAAAGTCCCTGAAATTCACACACTGACTATAGAAAGACTCAGAGCACTGTGCAAATCTGGTTTGAGAAATAGGAAGATGTGAGACAACTACTAAAAAGTGGAACCCAGTTCTCCCTGCTTGGGAGGAAAACATAAAAGCTGTGTCCTGGAGAGGTTCTGTGATGACTAGGAGCGATTGGTTTTCTGATCCCTGCTTGAGCAGAGGTCACATCACATCTTCCAGCTTGGATGTCATGTGTGCTACAGACAGATACTGGTAAATTTTTCTGCCATGACACACTACTCTTAACATCTGCCTGAGCCTGAATCACCACAGCATCCATCTGCTGCCTGACCAGCAATGGAGCTGAGTGGTGACCGCTCTTAATGGTGTAGGAAGATGCCTTCAGTAGGCACACAAGAGGTTAAAAGAGGAGGCCTGAAGCCATCTTCTCTCTGAGCTTGTTCCTGTATAGAGCACTTCAGTGTTTTCATCTGCTTGTTTCCTGAAGGGGATTGGTGTGTAAAATTTTGGGTGAAATAGGAAGCATTTTTGTGGCTCTAAAAAATATGCTGTCTTCAAGTTGCTCAGAAGTTGGGAATGTAAATAGTCCCAGACTCAGTGGCCTGGGGACAGGTGAGCTGACTTAATTTATTTTATTTTGGATAACTAACGTGTGTGGCCCCAAGATTTGTTACAGGGCCCCACCTCTGTGACAGTAGAGAGCCCCAGAAGACAGTGATCTAAACATAGACAAGTATTTACAAAACCTAAGTATTTTCTGTCCCTTATCTTGTAATCACAAAGCTGGGAAGTGGTGTGTTGAGTATTGATTGGTGCATCTGGGATACAAATGCACGTACGATGTGGTAAACATGTGTTATCCTCACATCAGGTGAGTTAAATGCAATCATTGAGGAGCAGCACTGAGGAAAAATTGTCAGCTAAACCAACAACCAGCACAGGAGTTGGAGAAGGTTTCCAGGATCAAGAGATGTCCTGCATACAGATTCAAGTGGGAAGCTACCATACTGATTCCTTAGCAGATAAAAACAACAGCAATGACGGTCCCTCACTTACAAGTACCCAGCTCGGAGAATCACTAACTCAGAGTATTACTGATATTCAATTAGCCACACCAAAGATACCTCCTGCCAAGCAAGACCATTCTTGCCTTTTCTATAAAATGGTAAATTTGTTGAGCTGAATATAACGTTACTTAGATGTCATCAGGGGATTTACCTACTATGGCAGGACAGTGGTGTTTAAAAATAGCCCTCTCCCGTGTCAGCGTGGTCTGCCTTGGATTAAGAACTGGCTTTCTGACAGGTCTCAAAAAGTTCCTATTTGTGGGGGAGACTGCTGTTCCTTGAGAGCAAAGGCAGGGGAGAACTTACAGGAAGCAGCTTTTCAAGATTTGAAGGTGTTCCCCAGTTGTAATTTGATGTAAATCGAAATTGCTGGTGTGCAGGTAACATAACGAGTGGTGGAGGAGTTCGATATACTACATAAAGAGAGCAAGTTGGATTATTTGGAAACTGGATCTTCCATTTAAAGAAGTACTTCACACCTGTGTACAGCTGGCATTAAGAGAGGCCAGTATGGGTTTGTGCATTCAGATTTAAGGTAGTATGGGGCTAGCACCACAGAAGAGGGCTCTGCAGTCTGAGCAGCGCTGCCTTTGACAAGGAACAAGAGATAGTGTGGGAGGTAATTCAACAGGGACAAGGCATACTGTCCTGCACAGATTAGTTTCATAACAGTTAACCTACACCAGCTGAGTTAGAGTCCTCCCAAATGGGAGCTATGTGCGTTCATGTTTATGTATAGCACTGCACTGACTTCTCAATAGGTGTTTGAGAATATTAATACAATTAAAATAGTAATAAAATCTTTTGGAAAGATGGTACCAGTATAGTTTCAGTATCACAGTTACAGGTAAGCTAAGCATTCTGTATTTCTGGGCCGGACACTCAACAACTGCAGTTGTTGAGTGTCCAACTCAGAAATACAGGATGCTTAGCTTACCAGCAACTATGGCTGTCATCATGTAGTGTCCATAGATTTCAGAAAATTTGTTGACAAAAGAGAGTATCCCTTCTTCCTCTTCTCATCCTCCCCCCACAAATAGCTGTTACTCCACAAAATGAAAACCCATTACTAGTAC